GAATCCTCTCTTCTCCCCTGGGCATCTGTACCCAGCTAGGGCTCTGCACAGGACAGAGGCTTTCTCTCCGTGCTGTGGGGGTGAGCAGTGTCTTGGCAGCCCGCTACACTCCCAGAGGGAGCGCCTGCAGACCCTTTCCTACCCACGCCTCAAAGTGCCCTGCTCCTGCAGCTCCTCATGCTGGCACGTGCTGGGGGAAGGCAGGACTCGCTCAGCCCTTCAGGAGCCCTGCACTGGGGCTGTGCCACGGGCCAGCCGTGGCCCCCAGCTCGGCCCCTCCTGTGCCCAGGGCCGTGTCTGCTGTCCCGTGGCTGCGCCGTGTGAGCAGATCCCATCCTCGTGGCTGGCAGGCGGGGACGTCGCAGGGCTCAGACATACCTGAGTGCTGGGACAGAGCTTACGCAGCAGCCGGGCTGAGTCACCGGCGGGATCACCCGGCGTGGACGGGGCTCCAGGAAACGGTGCTTACGTGGTGTAAACACATCCCAGCATTGTGCCTTGTGCCGGGGCCAAGCGGCCTCGGGGGTGCGAGAGAGAAATCAAACCAAATCTGATGGTTTTCATTAAAAAATAGTGCTCTTTATTATAAATTATGGAAACATTTTCTTTCTGAATATAAATATAAATATGTGCAAAGTTTCATCTGAGTTTGGTTTTGGTTGAATTTTCAAGCATTGTTTTGCTCAGCCCTCAAGGCTGGAGGTGAAGATGGAATCTTTATAAAAGACAGTGATTCACGTTGGCCTGTAAACATCCCTTCGGTTAAAAAAATAAGAATAAAAATTAAAAAAAGCCAGAAAACCCAACCACTTCTCTGGGCGGACGCAGAAAAGCACTCACGAGATGACACGCTCCAGGGGATGGTCCTGCTGCACTCTCAGGGAATTGGGGCCCTGCAGAGGAGCACAGAGGGCTGCGGGAGTGGCTGGGCAGAGGGGGGTGTGACTGCAGGGAGTGGGGGCCCAGCGTCCTCGGGGGGATCCTTGCAGATGCGCTTGAGTGGGACTCAGCAGCACTGCTTCCTCTCCAGCTTCACGGCACATCAGCAGGACCATCACTGCATCGTCACCAGCTGAAGCGCACTGACCCAGACCGCCGGGCAGGGGGATATTAAGGCTTAGTCCCCTGGAAAATGGCAACGCGGGGCAAAGGCATCGACCTCTTAGTCTGGGGCTTGATGTGAAAGGAGCTTTCACCCACAAGGAGGCAGCAAGAGGTACAGTATGGGCAAAAAACACCTTCCCCTTAAAACTGAGGAAAAGTGATCAGGCACTCCTGGGCTCCAGTGCTTTCCGTTTCTCAGGATGGAAGGGGCTCTCACCAGGACACCCCCAGGATGCGGCTGGCAGGGCACACGTTCCCCCGCGCTGTGGGAGCTGTCCTGCCTGCCCAAGCCCACAGGGGCTTTGCCACGGGTTCACTGTAACATCCACAGTCTGCTCGGAGCCGTCTTCTTCCCCGTGGAGAGGAGGCGTCACGCTTGATGAGGAGTCCCCGCAGCACCAAAGGCGCCCAGCTATGCTGGCCACAGCCCTGTGGCAGCCTGCCCCAGTTCCCCTCTCTCCTTGCCGTATGGAGAGGCTCGGCGTGCCCTGCCAGCGCCTGTGCCGGAGGGGCATTGTGCCTGTCCCCTGCTCTTGTGCTTGTAGATGAGACCTTGCCCCGCTGGCCCCTAGAGAGGGGCATCGTACTGGTCCAGGAACTCCTTGATGGGGGCTGGCAGCTGAGTCATCTTCTCATAGGAGTCCAGGTGCCCGTTGACGGTCTTGCGGCAGAGGTGCTGCAGGGTGGAGACGCTGGAGGAGAGCGGGCGGCTCAGCACCAGCGGGATCTTCTCGCCGCCCGAGTAGATGTAGTAGGTGCGCTTGGGGTGCAGGGCCGCCCCAGGCTGCTCGGGCACGGCGCAGGGCGTGGGTGGCATGTAGTGATGGACCAGCTTGAGCACGCAGTCGAAGCGAGGCACGGGCTGGCTGCTGTGGGGATCGCTCTGCAGGGAGAAGCTGCCGCCCTCGCACTGGATGCGCAGGTTCTTGGTGCCCGACTCCGTCTTGACGCTGAGGGTGAAGAAGTGCCTCTGGTCCGAGCTGTCCCTGATGAGGAAGGTGCCGGCCGGCTCGGTGCTCAGCAGCAGGTTGGCCTCGCCACCTGTCACCGTGCTCCAATAGAAGCCGCTCTCCTGCAGCTTGCGTACGGTGTTCACCACCAGCTGGTACTCGCTCTTGGAGCTGAACGTCTTGAGGCGCAGGCTGGTGTCGAGGGGGCGGCTCATCCCGGCGGCGGGGAACTTGCTGTGGGTGACCATGGCGCAGGGAGCCAGCTTCGTGTGCTCTGGATGCTGCTGCCAGCAGCAGCCGCTGCTACACCATCACCTGCGGCGGAGAGAGCGGTGAGTCCCGGCACTCCGGTCCCCGACTCTCCCTCCCCTCAACACCTGCACCCCCGGTCCCTGGTTGTTATCCTCCCGCAGCAACAGCGCTGCCGGTTCCCGGCAATGCCCTTCCCCAGCTCTCGTTCCCAGAAAAGCCGGCAGCCCCCCTGCCCAGCTCTGCCTTCCCGGGGGAACCGGCAGCCCCGTTCCCGGCGACTGTCCTCTCGCGACAGCGGCACTGCCGTAGCCGGCTCTTCCCTCCCGGGAGCACGGGCTCACCTGCACTCTCCCGCTCCCTCCCCTCTCTAGAGCACCGCTCCTGATGGTCTCCTGCTCTCCTACGCCTGGGGGCACATCGGTACCCAGCGCACCGGTTAT